AACAATGAATGAATGGAATTCCAAAATCTCTGTAGATGTTCATTGAAATGAAAAATAAAGAAATTTAAAAAGTTTTTATTAGTTGCTTGATTTTTTGGTGTTGCATAGTATTCCATTGTGAGAATATATCAGTTTTTCTAGGCATTCATTTTACTGATGGGAGAATATTACCTCCTAAAAATTTATACAGCTATACAGAAAACAAAAATTCTGATTCATGCTACACATAATTGCTCCTTGAATTCATGCTAAATCAAACAGGCCAAAAGGACAAGGATATGTAGTGTATGATAGCACCTTATGAAATGCCTAGCCTAGGCGAATGCATAGATTTGTACAGAAATGTATAGAAAGCATTTAAAATAGTAAATTTCCTGTTTTATGTTTAGATATATCTGAACAAATGCCATAGCATATGACACATATAATGTATCAGAAAAGGACTATGTTATAAGCTATTTGTTTATTCCAAATAGTTTGGGAATAAACTCGACTGGACTGTGGAATTCTGATTAGTATTCATTTCTAATTTAGATTATGATGTGAGGAAATGGAAAAAGCAGGTCAGATATCTAAAACAAGATAGTTAAAGAATTAGGAATACATTTAACAATATTTAGACCACAGGTCAAAATCTTCCCACTTACCTTCAAACTCAGCATAATGCTGATAAACAGAAGGATAATAAGGACCAGACAGGTAGGATTCACTGACATGATATCTTCTTTGTAGGGAAAATTAGGAGGCTGCAAAAGAAAAGAGCTTTGTTAGCAAATCTAATTAATCATTCAGGATTATATTCCTTAGGCAATAATTCAGACACGCTTATCAGAGAGCCATGAGTTTCAAGGGGACATCTATTATTTAGCATGAATACAAAATTCCTAGCCTAGTTCTAGAAATGAAAATGAGTTACAAACAGTCCACTCAGGAGGCCAGTCTCTTCATTCAGGTAACAACTCCAACCATGAAAAGCAAAAGGTGGTCATGAAGAACACTTGAAAATAGAACTCTGCCTTCCTACCACCATAAAGACACAAGTCAGTTGTCTTTTTCACTTGAACAACTTACTGTCAAGTCAAGGGAGCTTTGGTGGCTTAGTGGTAAGGAACTGCATTGCCAACATAAAGGTATGCAGTTTGAATCCTCCAGCTGCTTCATGCTTCATGGGAGAAAGACAGGCAATCTCCTCCCATATTATTGACTGCCTCTGAAAAACCCGCTGGAGCATCAGCTACGGGTCATTCCTGACTCACTGGTATACAACATCAACAATGGTGACGGAACCAACTCATAGCTGACACTCCATTGTTTCTGAAGCTGTAAATCCCACGGGAGGAGATGGTCCACTTTCACACCTCCAGTATTTGGATTTTCTCAAAGTGTTAGGACATTCTAAATGGGGTAGGCAAGGCAAGGAAGAGCAATCCATTGTTAAAATGGTATTTTCTTTCCATAGAATATTTACAGATGCCTGTTGTCCCTCAAAAGCAGAATCGCATACTAGTAGGCATTTCTAGCATTAAAAAAGCTAGACTCTGCCTTATGACTATACTGGTTTCAACCAAAGGAAACCTCTTTAACATTATATCAAAACTTGTTACTCTTGTTAAAGAGGTGACAGAACCTCACTTAGCGCACTCCCCTCTCTTCCCCCACCCGCTTCCTTTTAACTGGCCTAAGTGTATGCCGATGGCAGATCTTTAAATGCACCATTCATTGTCATGGATTTGGATTCAGCTTTAGCCATATTCTGAGATACAACAAAGAAGTTCCAAATGTTAAATCAGAATGTGGAGAAACTTCTGTTTCATGTGCTTCGCTCTGACTTCCCAAGAGGAGTATCACATCTTCTCTCACTTCCAAACCTCAAGACAGACACATTTTCAGAGTCTCACTTTAGGCAAAAAAAATCTAAGGAATAAAACACATCAATGCCATTAGGGTGGCCATTTCCCTTGGAGGCTGCTAACAGTGTATTTACTGGGTGGGGGTGTGTGTGTGTGTGTGTGTGTGTGGCTTTTGGGTTTTTTTAATTATTTACTATTGATTTTTATATGGCAAGAAAAAAAAATAACATGGTGGTGGAAAAATAATAAGTCATACTTCTCTTCTAATAGAATAATGTGAAAATAGAGGGCCCTTTCCAAAACCAGCTCTGCATTCATTTCCCCTAGAAAAGTGGATATGGTTTTTCTATGTCCAAATGACACCACTGAAAACATAATTGTATATTACAAGGTTCCACATAAGCAGGTCCTTGTCTGCAAGTACGTACTGTCATCTAGACTTGGCAGATTTGTCCTCTCTGTCCTCCTGGGTCCATTATACGTCAATTAGTCAATAAGGTCCACACTGTGAGTGACACCTTAGCCCTCTTGTGAGCTGTGGGATAAAGCAGTACCCCCACATTTTTCTGCTTCTGGGGTTTAATATGAAGCTGCAATCTTACTTCAGTCCATGTTGCCATCTGGTGGGGGATCGTATAATTGTAAATTTGAAGAAATGTCTTGTCCACAAATCCCAGCAACAGAGACCTCTTGGGACATATGCATCCCACTCAATGCACAAAATTTCCTCAATTTCATTCAAAATGCTTTATGTGACTGAAAAGAAATTATTTCAACAAAAACCTCAAAGCATGATGTAATTCAGTCTTGAAAGGATGAACATTTCCACTGTTGTTTATTTAAATGAAATAGTTTTTAAATTTTCTTTCATTGGTGCACATTTTCTTCCCCCTTCCCACAATATGTCCCTTGTTCCAGGTTGTTGTCATACATATCATGCCAAATCATATATATTCCTTTCAGACAGTTCTTCCTCTCATCTGTTGAAAAGCAGTATTCATTATCTATCCACTCTTTTCCCATTCTCTCCTCAACCACGCACTCCACATCTGTCCTCTTACAGCAGTGTAAAGGAATATTTTTGCTCTTGTGACCCTGATATTTCATTCAGCATAATGTCTTCCATGTTATATAATGATGTACGAGCTCACTGTTTTTCAATGCAGTATAATATTCCATTGTGTGCATATACCATAGATTTTCTATCCATCCCTTTGTTGATGGGCACTTGAGTTGCTGTCATCTCTTTGCTATTGTGAATAATGCAGCAATAAACATGCGTGTGTAGATATCTGCATGAGTAGTGGCTCTGGTTCCTTTCAGGTGATTTCCAGTAGTGGAATTGCTGGGTCAAATGCTTGCTATTTCTATTTCCAACATTTTAAGAACGTACCAGACCACCTTCCATAGAGGCTGTACCATTTTACATTCCCTCCAGCAGTGAATAAGGGTGCCAATCTCTCTACAACCTCACCAGCATTTGTTGTTTGCAGGCCTGTTGAACTTTGCTATTGTTTGCAGGGACACTGGTTCTCTCTTAAACAATGTAATAACCTATAAAGCTAACTATTGTAGCCCAGGTTAATCTTTAAGCACAAAAGATATTCACTTATGTTATATGATTTGTAATTACAAATTACAAGTGGATGATTTTTTTTTAGCTACAATTACCATCACTAGCATTGCTCAAAGGAGTCCTGGAGTTTGAACAGTTTAAGAATACTTCAGTTGGTCTGGGTTCTAACCTAGCAGTTGCTCCATTACAGCCTGCTTCCATGAAGATAACTGCCTAGCAGGTCTTTATGAGGAAGTTCTATTGTCACTTGGCACCACTATGTATTGCAATCAACTTAATGGCATAAAACAATAGCACCGATGTTCCTCTACCATGGAGAGATCTAAGCAAATGAGTTTTGAATTCCTAAGCAACACAGAGGCCAATAGAAAGTTGATATTGTATTCTTAATGTTTTGAATGCTTATCCTGCACATTAGACTTTACACTCCAATAAATGTCTGAAATATATGGAATGCAACACATCGTATGCTAGTCAAATAGTCACAGGCTCCCATATGGCTCGTTTTCACATCTTATTAATCACTATTACACTGCCAAGCTCCTCATACAGTAGGCTAGGCTGAGATCCTGTCTGCACCCCCCTTTCGGGATGCTTTTAGGAGCCTAGCACTCAGCATCACATAGAGCCCTTAGAGAATCCTACAATTTGATCACATGTAGACACTTTTCACACAGAAACAATGTAGCAAGTCATGGTGGCCCCAGGCCAGATTAGAAATGCCTACTAAAGTTAATGTTCCTTAAAACTAATAGTTATGGGAGCAAATTGCCAGATCTCTCCTTGTGAATGAGGTGAGTGGAATGTGGAACCGTAACCGTCTGGCTAGTGGCTAAGCCCCTAAGTACTGCACCACCAAAACTCCTTACATTAGTACTTCTATTACCAGGAGACCATCATAAGCTTCTTCTACACATCAGTTGTCCATATCTACTCACATGGTCACAAAGGACACGTATCAAGAAGTTAGCTGCAGAAGCCACGTTTGCTGGGCTACAAGATGGAGGCGAATGGAGCAAGTGACGAGCCAAATCTTATGGTAACGATCCTGACATTGAGATGGCTTGGGCCATGAGAGCAATGCAGCATGCTGAAGTCTACTACAAATTGATTTCATCAGGTGATGAACAGCTCCTGAAACTCACCAAAGTGGATGACCAAATCTACCAAGTTCTGGAAGAATTTTGAGAAACTCAGAATAGATGTGTTGGACCCAGAAGAGCTCAAATCAGAACTGGCTAAAGAGAAGTGGAGGCCATTCTGCTTGAAGTTTGATGGGATTGTAGAAGACTGTAACTATGGCACTTTGCTGCAACTAGATTGCTCTCTGGGTTACACTGAGGAAAATATAATCTTTGCCCCCAGAATACAATTTTTGGCTACTGAAATTGCTCAGAACAGGGAAGGCTAGAACAAAGCAGTTTACATCAGTGTGCAGGACAAAGGAGGGGAAAGGGGAAGTGACAGAGAGGAAAGAGAGGGAAATAATCAACAAAGGCAATATAACAGCCATGCAAGAGAGACAGGGAACAGCACTCTGTGAGTCTACAAATAACAAGAGTGCTATTTGCTCGGACCCCTTTGGTTGAATGTATGTTCTTATGCAAATGAAAAACCTACAGAAGGATATCTTTTTAGCCTAGCAGTCAGGAGTTACTCTGTTCATTCCCTTGTATGAACTGACTTATGACTCTATTAGTGAGATCTCAATTCATCATTTCTTGGTTCTTAACACCACTGACCAAGTAATAAATTTTTTAAACAAATTTTTTTCAGTTCTTATGATCATTTATAGCTATGCTTGACTTGGAAACAGTATTTAAAATAATCTGATAATTCACATTTTCTTTATGTAATATGTATAAAATGATTATGCCTATTTGAATTCTTTTCACTGTTTTATGTAATGATACGTAACAGGCTGTACATGGTACTATAAGTTGTGCATGTATAAAAATTAGAAATCCTTATATATGACTAAACTCTGGCCCTTTGAGTGACTAAAGTGCTCTGTTTTATTTTTCTGTACCTGAGAAGTTTTAATAAATACTCTGTGGGATATTAAAAAAAAGAAGCTGCTTGGTCAAGAAAAAGGTTTTATGGTCAAATAAGTTTGGGAAATGTAAAGTTTCACTTCTCCCAGGTAAGGTGGCAGAGGCCAAAAGCAATCCTTTTTTGACATGTAAACAACTTTTGTACATGAAGACAGCAACTAGCTCACAATTTAGGTAGGTAATTACTATTATTTCTTCCATGAACTAACTGCCATCTATCTAACCAACTAAGCTCATCATTTAGGTAACGACTATCTATTTTTCTAACTAAGCTCAACATTTAGGTAATTAACTACTATCTTTTCTGCCATGAAGATTTTAGGAGTTATGTCTTCTCCAAAAAGTATCATAAGAAACAACTATATTCAATGTAACATTAACTATTCTCTCACCAATAACTCAGATACAAGTTTAAAAAGCAGAGGACATTGGTGGTTTAGTGGTAGAAGTCTCTCTTCCCAAGCAGGAGACTCAGGTTCAATTCCTGGCCAATGCACCTCACGTACAGCCCACGCACAACCTGCGCCAGTGGAAGCTTGCTACGGAGGGGAACAGGTCTCAGTACAGGCTCAAGGATGAGAGAGACACGGGAGGAGAGAGTTTTGATCCACTTCTGAAAATTAGTCAGTGAAAATCCTGTGGATCAACAATGTCTGATTATAGCCTTTTAAAGACCAGGTCCAGATTCATTTCACTGTGCACAGGGTCACAGTGAGTAGGTGGGGACTTGGTGGCAGTCAGGTATCAGCAGCATCCAACTTCAATAAGAGAGAGAGAGAAAGACAGAGAGACAGATACAAAGAGACATGGAGTGAGATGAGAGAGTGAGTGAGTGTGGCAGGGAGAGAACATACCAGCTGTCGTATGTATTCCTGAATGGAGTTGGGATAAACGAGCACAGTGACAGCAACCAAGGTGTTCAAGGCAAAATCAAATATCTGGTAACCGAAGAAGGGGACGATACAGGCAGCATGTTGCTAGATAGAAGAGAAAACACAAGAGAAAAATGTGTTGAATATTACAAAACACGGTTCTGTTGACATCAAAGAAATCTATTATTAGTCTGATACAAAAATGATCAACAGAAATTCATGAAATAGCAAGTGATAATTACTGGCAAGCCAAATAGGCATCACAACAAATTAAGTTTCAATGAACAGTTCTGCGACTAAAAATGTTCTTAGTCCACACATGCAGAGGTTTAAACTCGCAGGAATTACTTTAGAAAACAGAACTGTTTCTTATTGATCCCAAACAGTTGCACAGATCACATGTGTCAGGGACTCGGGAGAGGCTCAGCACTTCTTCCTGAGAAGCGGCTTACCTTGTATGCACCGTAAGTGGCCATGGCACATATCAGGATCATGAGAAGAGAAAACGAGATAGCAATGCACGTGTCTGTCAGAGGGTAAAGCACAGAACACAATCAGCAGCAGATCCACTGTCCAGACATTTGTGAGTCTCTGCTTAAAAAAAAAATCTGCTTAAAAAAAGTGAAATAAAAAGGCATTAAGTGGAAACTCTTAACCTAAATATCATTAATGTGTAATATTATCTATGTATCTTAAAAAATTATTTCAAAATTAAGTGATAATTTTATGTGATGTAAACAGCCAGTCTTTTTGGAATATGAGAAAATGATAGTGGGAACAAAGTAGCCCAGAATATTCTTCCTAAATCATACAAATGTCAACAGATAAGAGACTGATATTGCCAAAAACAATTTTAAAAATAGTTACATGCACCTAAAACAAAGGAAAAAACAAACAAACCAAGAGTAATATCATAGACCAATACTATCCTGAAAACAGCAGCAGTTAAGGAAATGATAAGAAAAGCTACAAACAAAATGAACTCAACAAAGAGAATTAGATGGAACAAGAAGAACATCAGCAACACCACAAGAGGCTGATGCTGCATTTAGTGTCTGTTTCAAAAATGAAACCAAGGTCATTAGCTATAGTTAAAAGGCTGGTCTTCTGGCTCACTGAATTATAAAAATAAATGACATATTCTGTTAACTGATAAAATCCACGTATTGAATAAGCTCCTGTGTTCCTCCAGTGGCTTCTCATACAATTTAAAATAAATCTCAACCTGTACAACTGAAAACTAAGCCGTTAAGTCGTACTTGTTCCACAACCTGCTGACCTCTCTCTAATCTCGTCTCATCTTCTCCCACCAGCTACTGCTCACTATACTCCAGCTGAATCATCTGGTTCATTGAGCAGAGCAGAAATCATCCCATCCAAGGACTTTGTTTGCAGTGTCCACTAAATACAAGAAATTCCTCTCATATTTTCACACGGCTAGCTTGTTAATGATTGTGGTCTCAGTTTGAACGTTAACACTTCAGAGAGCTCTTTCCCTCGTATTTTAGCTAACACAACCCTCCTAGTTATAGTCATCTTATTGTTATATCTTCTTTATAACAGATACCATGACTAAAATGTGGTCCTTGTTCATTATCTATTTTCCTCTGTCACAAGAACTTTGAGGGAAACCTAAAAACCAATCCACTGTCCAGATCATTGAGACTCGATGTGGGTCAGAGTACTTCTGCGCTACACTGGGTTTTCAATGGCTAAGCTGTCAGAAGCAGGTCTCCAGGTCTGACTTGCAAAGTGCCTCTGATGGACTCAAACCATCAATCTTTTTTGCACAGCTGTTTGCATAACCCTCAACAGGACTTTCTCTGTTTTGCTCATTATGACAATTCCAACATCTAGAATGTGTCAAGTGTTCAATATGGTGGCCTCTAGCCAGCCACATGTAACACGATCCAATGGTGGAGTCCACGGCTAGTTGAACTGCTGGCCCCAGGGTTGCATGCGTGCTTGTGGATGTTTAAGCAGATGAGTGGGCTCTACAGGAGAAAGATGGGCAGCCTTCTCTTGTTTATCACTTACAGCCCTGAAACCTGCTGGAGGGTTGGTATCAATTTAGGAGGGCTGTTATGAGCTGGTACTACTAACTTGACAGCAAGGAGTTTGAGCCACCTATGTAGGCAGTGGTGGACTGAGCATCAATATAAACTTTCTCATTGCTATTTTATATTGATTATGCTGAAATAATATTTTTAATATACCAAGTTAAATAAAATATCTTACTAAAAGTAACTGTAATGTTGTCTTTTTGTTAAAATATTACTAAAAAGTTTGAAATTATGTGTTGGTTCATCCTACATTTCTGTTGGACAACCTTATTTAAAACAATGTCAGCAAGAGCGCAAAAAACACATGCTAGCAAGATTGTGGAGAAACTGGAACCCTTATTCACTGTTGGTGGGAGTGTAAAAATGTTGTAAACACTATGGAAGGCAGTATAGTGCTTTCTAAAAAAGTTGGAAATAGAAATACCATTTGACCTAGCAATTCTACCGCTTGAGAATATACCCTAAAGAGACCAGACTGCCACCCAAACAGATATCCACATGCCTATATTTACTGCTGCATTGTTCACAAGAGCAAAGCGATGGAAATAACCCAAGTGCCCAACAACAAAGGAATGGATAGAGAAGCTGTGGTACATTCACACAGTGGAATACTGCACAGCACTGAAAATCAAGGAACTCATGAATTATTATACAAAATGGGTGACCCTCTGTTGTAAAAGAGGACTGACATTGGCGTTGGGGGAGACTGGAAAAATGGAATAATGTGTATTACATTGAAACAGATGAAGGAGAAAACAGTTGAAAAGGGATATGTGATTGGGTATTACTGTCATGACATGAGTCCAGAACCAAGGCTGCCTAGTGGAGTGGCCCTGGGGGGAGGGATTGTAAAACAATGAAAGAACTTTTCTTTTACTTTTCAAAGAGAAGAGTGTACTGGGGAGGAGAGGTAGGCAGGGAGAAAAGTGCAGCAATGAATGAATGGAAGTCCAAAGTCTCTGTAAACTTTCATTAATAATAAAAATTTTTTTAAAACCCCCAAAACAAACAAAACCAAAAAACCAAAACGGGTGACCCTGGAGGACATCAATGCTGAGTGAAATATCTCAGTTACAAAAGGAAAAATACTGTATAATGCTGCTGTTAAAAAATAGGACTGACACGGAGGTTGGGAAAAACTAGGGAGAAGAGGCAATAAATAGTATACACTACATTGAAACAGATGAAAGAAAGGACTATTTAAAAGAAATATACGATTAGGTACTATTTGCATTGCCACAGTCTAGAATAAGAGGTGCATAGGAAAGTGGACTGGGGTAGGGGTAGAGGTGCAACAATGAAAGAATTTTTTTTTAAAGTGAAAAACAAACTGGGGGTGGGAAGAGGGAGGAATGTACAGTAAGAAATTAATGAATGGAAATCCAAGTTCTCAGTAAAGTTTCGTTAAAATCTCAAAAAAATTTTAAAAACACACCCCAAAACCAACTGTCAGCAGATGTAAAGGGCACATTTGTTCAAGAGGTCATGTCATCTTATCTTTAGGAGGTTCAGATTAGCAGTATGGTATGACTGGCTTATAAAAGTAACAATGCCTAGGGTAATTATGATAAAGAGTGTGTGTGTATGTGTGTGTGTGTGTAGGGGAATCCATGCAGTAATAGGGACTGCATGTCACTGTCCATATTGTCTATACGGTAATTTCTCATTTCCATGTCATTTTCACAGGTATGCCATTTAATCAATCTAAGTGGAGAAGACCCTGTTCAGATGTTGAATAGATAAGGAACCTGACACTCAGAGGGTGTTTAAGTTGTTTAAATTATACTCAAAAGGCTGAGTTATGACAACTTGTGCTCTGCCTAACCTCAGATGTGTGGCTTTCCCCTAGAGAGTTACTTCTACTTGAACTTTGCTAAACCTACCACAGCTGCTACTTTCAATACATACAGATGTTTCTCCAAAAGAAAGGAAAGTGTTCTAGCTTTAGAACCATCTTCTGTCTCCCCAGGTTCAGGGATAGAGCAGGAGGAAAATGTTGGAAGCAAGAGATTTATGAACTGAAACACATGATACAATGACATTCTAGGAGAGAAATTCAGGTTTATCACCAAAACTTCCTTGTCATCTCAAAAACTAAAGATGCTTCAAATTGGTCTACAGAGTCTGACAATTCTTAGCAAAGTCCCATTTAATAAACATCAATTGAGTTATATTAAAAAAACAAGATAAGGCGAGCTCTGGTGGTCTACTGGCAAAAAGCTTCACTGCAATCCCAGAGCTGCGTGGTTCGAATCCACCAGATGCTCTCCTGGAGAAGGAAGAGCAAAGTCCTCCTCCTGTACTAGTCAGATCTGATTTGATGGTACACACACACACAAATAAAACAAATTAAAAAAATATTTTAGAAAAAGTTCTTTAAAAAACAAACAAAACAAACAAAAAAGAAACAACAAAACCAAGATCCACACAAGAAATGACATTAAGAGAGCATCATCAGATAATGACTATTCATCATAAGTAAATAGATCATGATTTCTCTTAAGGTTAGCATTAAAATAACCTGAGCTTTTTCCAACCGTGAGGGGAAGGGTACCTGCGAGAAGATGTCATGTGAGCCTTTGCCTCATAGTCGTGTGCGGTTAACCTCTCTCCTCGAGGTGAAGTCACAAACAGCTCACAGCCCACTCCCCAAGGCTGTCTATTGCACAGGAGACTGACAAGCTTCCTCCTTTGGAGCCATGGTGGATTCCAACCATCAGACGTGCCACCAAATAAACACGAATGCTGTTTACAGGCAAAACCATCGGTGCCGAGGGATTTGGTTCCACAGACCCAACAGTAAAAATATATCCACGTCCACACATGCAGTCTGGGGCTGCCATTTGCATACAGAGCACACTAGGTTTCTACTCTCCTCCATGACAGAACACCACTCGTCTGCTTTCTCATTTCCCCAATGTGTAAGTGTGGCTTTTCCTCAAAGAGCTGAGCTTTGTGTTATTTCATTTAGTCCTTACAAAAACTCTAACTGGACTATCAGTTATGAGATGAATACTAATATCACCAGGCTGTGCATACGTGTGTGAAGTAAACACTGCCTGGATGGTATAAACCGTTAAGTACCAGGCTGTTAGGCGATAAGTTGGTAGTTTGGACCCACTCAAAGATGCCTCAGAAGTCAGGGCTGGAAATTTGCTTCTGAAAAGTCTCAATCTTGGAAATTATACAAGGCAGCTCTAATCTGTGCACAGAGGATGGATGGCCCTGAGCTGGAATTGACCTGACAGGACCTAACAACAGCAAAAAACTTGCCTAAGGTTGTCTAGCTGGTAGATGGGCTTGTCAATCCAAGAAGATCAATGTCAAACTAATCAACACTCTTGGCCACTATGTGAACTTGCTGTGAAGGAGGTGGAGGTCAAAGTGCAGGGGAAATGAGACAACCTCCAGAAAAGGAGTGAGGCATTAAAATGCACTGTTACCGGCAAAGCCTAGTAAGTGG